GGGTCTAAAACCACCAAGAAAAATCAACACAGAACAGCAGCAAAACACAAACTCTTGTCGGGTTCGTTGGCGAAGCCCCGGAACGAACACTCGCTGACCATTCGCCCGGCGAAACCCCTGGCGAAACCAAACAGAGGCTACTGGCAGCATTCGCTGCCTAGTTCGCCTGGCGAAGCATGGAAAAGGCTCGCCCCCTCATTCGCCCAGCAAATACCTGCGTTTCCAAAAAAATCTCACTGATCAAAATCAGCCATTCTCTCTGAACTCGCCCGATGTTACGAAAAATCAGCTTCTAACACGACTAACCCACATTCTAAGACTTAACTCCAAAATCTATTCTCAATTCCATTCGGTAAAACCTCAACTCTACTCAATTAATCAACTTCCGGCTCAAAACGGAAAACTACCGGAAACCCCAAATTCATCCGAATAACACATGCAACAATTAATTCATGCTAGCAACATTCAGAATCACAACACAACATAATATTTAGTTCATCATTCATCAATGGGGTTAGGGAAATCCCCTTCCACCAAATATTCATGCAATACCGAAATTAACCGATTATTCTCCCCCTACCTCAATAAGCAGATTGATGATGATGAACTCCATGAATCTACACCTTTGTTCTTCTTCTTGCTCTTGATCGCTCACTTTGATCGTGTTCTGCTCTCCCTCTTTCTTTCCCAACCGTGCGTGTTCTTCCTTCTCCTTCACTTTCTATTTTTCCAAATATACCAACACTACCCTTAATACCCCAAAAATCACTTTTTAATCCAAATAATTTCCAATATTAATATTCTCCATATTTTCTTAATTCCAAAGTAATAATCTTATTCCTTTTAATTTCCAAAAATCCACTAATAAGATATTGCTCATATATTACTATTAGTGATAATAATAATAATTAATAATAATATTTACATTACTATTAATTATCACGTTTTATCACTATATATTAATATTATGAGTTCTTGATCCTCAAATAATTCCACACAAAACACATCCACGAATAAAAATAACACCGAAACTAAAAATAATTAAAATGGGCGTTACAGATGACCTTCAAGAATGTCAGATTCAATGCGAACATCTTCGATACTAACATGAAGGGGCCCTTTAAAAGTATTGAGCGTATGTTTAGTCGGAACCACCTGTTGCGCTTTGGGTTTCGACTGCTATCGAAGGATTTTTATAGCATCCCCACAGATAAACCAATCTGGAAATGCAGGGGTAAGAGCCACGCCAAAACTAGCAGTTGGTAATCGAGGGGTTTTTGGAGGAAATAATTTAAAGGCAACCTCATACCTTTTCTCACGAGGAACAGATGAGGGAGTCTTTAAATTTTCTATTTTCTTAGAAATTTTTTCCCTTAAAGTGACAACAGCCTCACGGATGGTCCGACTAACATCATCTGGTCGATAGGCGGTTTCGAAGTACTTCTGGAAGGCTTGAATCTCTTTGATATGGGTAGACGTACCTTTCTTGATTTTCTCCGGCACATCAACGAAAGCTTGGTCAATCAAGCGAGTAAAGCTCGAAACATCAAGAAACTCTGAGGCATAATATTTGGACCACTAATTGTAGAAATATGGGGAGCAGAAGTAGGAGGGTTCAAAATAAATAGGTGTAAGAAGAGATTTGTGGGCATGATGCGCCAGTTGTGTTGAGCAGTCTAGGGAATTAACAACGGTGAGAGGGAGTATAACGTGCGACTTCTTATCATAAAAACATTTGGGTAAAGTTTGTATTAACCCAAATTGTTGTGATATTAAGTTTGACAGGTTGGCTGCCAGGGTGGCTTGTTCCCTGACGAGGTTGAGTTTATGAACTAACAGTCGAGGTGTGAGGAATCGATCCCAGATCAGCTTCGATTCATCTTCGTGTTTCTTCAGCGGAGAAGGGAAGGGTCCGGTGAACCATTCAGGATCATACTTCCTTTCTACAAACGGAGCCATTCTTGAGGTGAACTCGTGACGTTTGGCGAACATATGGATGGAGTTGGAAAGGTTGGCTCGAAGCGTATGTCCTTCTTCGCTTGGAGTGAGTTGAACCAAGCGGGGCCATTTGACTCGTCTCTCAGAAACAGAAGACGATCCCTCGTCGACTTCTCCTTTGTTGGGAAGGCTACTTTCGAAAGTAGCATTGAGCCACAACTGGAGTAGGCAGAAGGGACTCAACATTAGCAGGTTGCCATGACTCTCTGGGTCCCTCAGCTTACTAGCACATTCGCCCAAGGCTTCATAAAGACTGGCCAGAATCATCTCGCTCAAACAAATGCCTCTTTTCAGGTGTAGCTGGTTCGCCAAAATAAGATATTTACGTGCCATGTGCAAAGATTTAGTACAAAATACACAGCGAGACAACCACATGGCCAAGAAGGCTATATGTTCCTCATCTTCAACATAGGTAGTATTTTTATTGTGATAATGTTGGACGAAGGCCATATAGGCGTGCTTTGTAGTTGCGAATCCTATGGTATCCTGATTATTGACTTCAGGGTCATAAACTAATCCATGAGGTTTTAGTCCTACGATCGCGGCTATATCAAACAATGTAGGCGTCATCATCCCACACGGAAGGTGGAAAGTGTGACGTGTGTTGTCCCAGAAATACAAAGAGGAAGCCAGCATAAGGGGACAATAATTGAGGCCGACTTTTGACATCATTATGAGGTCATAAATACCAATTTCTTTCCAGTCCTGGGCTTTCACTTTTTCCATTTTCTCTAGTCAATTGAGGTAAAGTTCGTAGTCCTTGAAATAAGGAGTGGCTCTAAACAACCTGGCTCCTTCGTGGAGATACCTAAGGTCTACGTCGAAGGAAGCTATACTATCAGGACCATCAGCGGGAACCCTGCTAGGATCCTTTTGCCCTAAGGGTTTGGTTAGTCTGTAAGAGGGAAAGAAGTCGCAGATACTAGAATAATCAAGACCTAAAGGAGGTAATGGGCCAGACATTGCTAAGGGTTTACCTGCAGCATTAACAGGGATGATTACCTATGATTCGTAAATATGGCGCTTTTCCTCCAACAGGGGTTCACGAATATATTGTTGATTCTTCACTACTTTAGGAATGCTCAAGGTGGCGAAGTGAGGGAGAACCGACGTAGAAGATGGTCCTTTGGGTTGTATCTTTTCCTTCTGGTGCTCAACCATTGTTGAAGTTAGAAGTGTTCTTAGGAGAAAGAGGATATTTGAAAGAGCGCAAGAGTTTTCTGGAAATTAGAAATGTTAAAATAATACCTGAGGAGATTATTTATATGGAGTATTGAAAAGCAAGAGTTTTTGTATCATAAGTGGCTAGAGTTAGTGGGCCACGTGTATTCCCGAAGGTGGAGAAACAGGGGTGGCAGTTATAAGCTATACCCTTAGGCTCTAAAAGAATGATGATGGTCTGCGATTTTGGTGATTCCCGAGAAATCCGCCATGATGACCATGACATCAGGAACATGCTCCAAGGTAACGAAGCAGTTTCTTGCGTGTTCTCTCCATTTTCTTCTTTCTTCTCTTTCCTCCTCTTTCATCTTTCCAGACACTAGTTGGCCAAAGTACATTGTTTGACACATGTAAGTTGAAGTAAACGACGTCGAATTGGATGCTGTCAAAAAAATGCAGTTTTCTACTTAGGGTCGAAAAGACATTTTTTGAGGGGCAATTTGTGAGCTCCTAAATTCGACACCCTTTGCAAGTTAAGATATTTTAGAGAAAGTATTAGAATCTTGCTGGAGGCGAGAGCTTGTCAAAAAGTGTAGGACGTTTGAGGAAGAAGAGTCGAAACACTTACAAGACTTAAGAAAAATCATGAAGGCTTTGACCTGACGTTGCTGGGTAGTATCCTAAAGATTTGAAATTTAAATAAATTGGAGGGAGTGTTTTCATTCGCTGGATGACTAAGAGGACATGTGGCGTCATGTGGGTGACGAACCCATGCATTACGACAAGTGGCGGAGGATGATGATGTAGGAAGTTATTGGTAGTTATTTTCTACTATTATAAATAGGAAGTCTCAGACATAGAATCGGTGTTGTAATTTACTGTTGTACAAGTCACTCTTAAAATTACTCCAAGTATCCGAGTGCAGAGAAAGAGAGCATCGAAGAGAATGTACGTGATGTAAACATACCATCCTTTACTTTCCAATGAAATTTATTTTACTTGTTCAGACTTTACAAACCTTTCTTTATCTTTCTTGCAGTCTTCCCCCCTTTTTCCTATGCATTTTACTTCGTCCTCATTCTCAACCCCTTTTCTAAATATTTTATCCTTTTCTCGCTGAAAACTTTATCTTCTCTTCTTTTATAGTCGAATAGATACCTTGTAGAACCTTTCACTCAAATATTGTCAAAGTGTGAAACTTAGATAGATTTCCAAAGAAAACATTTTTAACACATGTCCTAGGATCAATCTGATCGATCCTGTGAGTCACCAAAGTTAGATTTGGAAGATCAGCGGTTGTTTTTCAATTTTTAAAGGAAACACATATACATGTATTTTAAAAAAAATGAAACTACAACATTAACAAAGAAACTAATGGATTTCACAATGCATTCTTAAGTTGAGAACACTCTCGAGAAAAAATGTGACAATATTTAAGAAAGATTTATTGTGTGGAGAGATAGAAAATAAAGAAAAGTTTGAATGTTTTAATATGTTTACAGAGTTTTGGAATGAAAAAAGAAAATAAAACTTTATTTTAAAGTATTAATTTGTTTTTCGGAGGCAACTAGAATTTTTCCGAATGGTTATAGTATTTAAAAAATAAAATAGAAACAATAATAATAATAAAATAATAATATTAATAATAATAATAACAATAATAATAATAATAATAATAAACTTGTAAAACATACGAACCAAAATGAAAAAGAAAATTGGAATTATGACGACACACGAGTTTCCCGCCAACAAAGTCCTTGTTCCCGCCATCACACATATACTTGTATAAAAAAGTGCGCCAAGTCTCACACATAGGGTCGAGACACGAGAGTGCAGCAGCCATGGAGGTTATTCAAAAGTCCCGCAAACGAAACCACAGATCCCCACCCGTTTCTTCCACTTTCACCCGCAGCAGAGCCCAGAGTCTCATACACCGGAGCCGCTCAGGTCAGATCCGTCCTGATCCCATCCGGAGCAAGGCTAACCAATGTCCCGTTCCAATTCCAGTTCCAGTTCCAACACAAGAGGAACTCTATCACGTTCCCGTTCATTTTGTTGGAAAGAATGCATCGCAAGGATTTTCCGATTCGGAATACAAATCTCTCATTCAGGATATTTGCAAGGAATGTTGTGAATCGGATTCGGAAGACAAAGATCTCGTTAAGGATCTTTGCAAGAAAGCGAAACATGACGACGGTGACCTAGCTTGTGCTACCGCGAAGGATCTTCGCATGAGGCGTGTTTATTCGATTTTGTCCAGCGCTGGTGCTTGCTCCGATCGGATCGGAAGCGCGTTGTCCAATCGGAGTGCCGTTGATTCTGAAGGGAAAGTAGCTGAATCGGAGTTTGAATCGCTGTTTGCGGATAACGGTGATGCACGTGTAGATGATGGAAGGATCTCACTGACTGAGGTACCTGTTTTAGGGCTTTCATGTGAAACTCGGGATTTCAACCGGGGAAACACTGATACATCATGTGAAAGTCCGAAATCGCAAGTTCATAAGCAGAATGATGAAATAAACGATGTCTATTTTTTGGAGAAAATTGATGATTTGGGTGATGAACCCGTACTAGCGACACCACCAGAGGCTGTGATAAGTATTAATTTGGGAGATAACAGAGATGCAAGGAAAACAGAAGAGGCCCTCAGTGTTAAAGATACTCCTCTTACTGTTAACGCAGAGGAAAATTCAGACAAGGGTTTTTCTGGTACCAAAGATTGCCAGTTAAATAGTTATGCTCTCAAGAGTAAATCTGTAAGTGCTGTAATTTTCAAGTTATTTCCCTTGTTTTATGAGTTAGTTAGACATTTTTGTTTTAAGTACTTTTGCTCTGAATTTTTTGTCTACGTGTCACCACCTGTGCTGCTAGTTGATAGGAATCTTGCTGATGTAGGTACTCAAACCACGTTTACCGGGGAAATTGTTCAAAGCTCCAGGTTCAGTTAATTACAGAAGGCTAATGAAGATTATGGGAGATGATATTGGTAATTGTTTTATGCAGAAACCTTTTATTATTTATTGTTAATGCAGTAATCTTTTATTATTTATTCATGGCATACGCCTAGGTCATGATTTAGCTTGATATGCCTGACGAAATTAATTTGCTTTAGATATGATTATGAAAATTCTTTCATGCAGAAAATCTTTTATTATTTATATATTGAATAGGGTACTATGTAGATGATGATTTAATCTGAAGTGTGCATTGGAACCAATTGGCTTGTAATTTTATAGGTATACCTGGTTCGGGTCATTGCCTCAAAGATAAGAAGGTTATGGATGCACAGGGGTTTGAATTTCCTTTATCATCTGATACTCACAAAGCTTCTAAACCTAAAACTATGACTGATAGTTGCACCATTCTTGATATTAATGGGCCAAAGCTGACATCTTCACCAATGCAATTAGATATTGCTAAAGTTAATGGTGAGTGTTTGTCTGGGTCATCCAAGGATGATGAATGTGTAAGTGATCCAAAGGCGGTTCCAGCTGCAGGTTTTCTTGGTGCTAGAGCTGTTGCTAATGCTAGGACTACTAACCACAATAGTTGTGCCTCAGAGCAGCTTGGTGTTTTGAAGAAAGATTCTATACCAACAACCAACAATTCTGAGATACATGATACCAATGCAGACCAAATGGATAGCATGTCAAAGGATGTGTGCCCCAAAGCTGATAAGATGAATGAGCCTCTTAAGAGTAAACATGTAAGAATCTGGCATGTGTTCAAATCCTTATTTTCTACCAATTATAGCGTGTACAGTTTGATTCTGGTCTTTTGAGGTGTGTTTGGATGTTTAAATTTTCAATCCAGTAGCTAGTGAACTTTCTAATACCTTCTGTATTTACTTTTGATGATACATACATATACATGGTTTTACTTTTGTTGGTAACTTAGATATATCATGTTACCTTGGATGTCTTTGCAGGTGCATAGACCTTACTTGCATGGGAAGCTGATCAAAACCACAGGTTCAGTCAACTATAGAAGGTTGCTTCCATTTTTGAAGAATCTTACTAAAGAAGACTCTGGTAACCACTGTGTTTTCAGCCTCTTAAGCAATATTAGTTAGATACATTAGATTTTAGTTAGAAATGGACAATGAAGGTACTAGCTGATTTTGCAGGTACATCAAAATTTGGTGACCAGGATCAAGACGCTGGTTTGTATGCAAAGGAGCTTCCTTTGCCATCTCAAAGTGAAGAAGCTTCTATTGACTTACAAATGGCAGCCAGCGGTCAAGTGCAAGACAAAGCTGACCCTAATGCTTTGGCAAACAGCATCTTAGTTAATCCTGCTAATATGTTAACTCATGGCAACCTTCCAGAATTGACATCTTCCCAAGACTTATCTGAATTGCCAATGCAATTGGATGCAAAAAAATTGGTCCATGAGTGCTTATCTGAATCCTGTGTTCAGGTACATTCTGAGAAGGCTGCAATTTCTTCAAAAGATGAGTGCTTGAGTGAACCAAAGACTGATCCTTGCTCAGTAATGATGGATTTTAACTGTGCTAAGATTATCACTGATGCTACTAACCTTGATGGCTTTACTCAACTGCACACCCCTTTATCTGAACAACACCTCAGCGTGTCACCACCTAAAGACCAAAATTTGCTTAATAGTAATGATGATATCTCCAACCTTTCCTCTAAAGAGTTAGTGAATCAGGAGAAGTGGGAATCTGTTAGCAGCTGTCCTCCTGAAGGTCAGAGTCTATGTCAGTTGGATCTTAATATGCTAGATGTGGAGAATGTAACAAGTAGCCATGCAATTAGCAAAAATGATGATAATGTGGTTTTAAGTTGTGTCGGCATCTCAAATGAAGAACCTAGACCATCATCTGAGAAGATTATCTCTGATAAACCAGAGCTACCAGACATTGCAGAGGAGAATGAAACAAATAGCCATGCAATTAAGAAGTTTGACAATTCTGTAGTTTTAAGTGTCAACATCTCAAATGAAGAACCTAGGCCACCATCAGAGAAGATTATCTCTGATAAACCAGAGTTACCAAACATTACAGCACATGGTGGTGACATAGCAGAAAGTCTTCTGAATGGCGTAGTTTATGCTTCAAAGATGCCTTCAAAAGGAAGCAATTACAAAGATGCCAGTTCTGTTGGGGAGATTGAAAATGGATCTGAATCCAAGACCACAGTGGTAAGGACCTCAATGTTTTAATATCACTCATTATTATAATACTTTTTCCTGTTGTGTTAATTTATTTTACTTAAATCTATTTGATTATGTCTTTTGAACAGGTTCTAAATCGTTGTCCACGGATGAAGTTGTTTAAACATGCCGGGTCTTTAAACTACAAAAGAATGCTTCCAATTTTCTTGGAAGCTGTGAAGTCTAATTCCTGTAAGTATCAGTTCTTATTGTATTGAAATATATGGTTTTGTAAAAGAATTTCATTTTCAGTTTCTTTAATTGGCATTCCCGTTGTTATAACTAAGCTTGCTACTTTTAGGTGCCTCAAATAATGATCATCACCCAAAAGTTCAGAAGCTTTTGTATCATACTCCAGCCGTTCCAATTTCAGATTCAAACTTGTTAGTAAATCCGATAAGTGTTTCAAATGACTGTGTTCCTATGGATGATAGTACAATCGATTTTGGTGCTCAGAAAGAAACAGAGTTTCAAGCTTGTGATTTAAATAATGATAGTTCAAGCCCAAGTGCTCATCTACCAGGTAAGCAGATCCTATCAAATGGACATGACAAGCTGGAGAACTTAATCAGTTCACCGAATTCTATTGAGAGAGATTTACTAACCACACCTTCAAGACCGATAACTGATGAAGTTACCACTATAGAAGAAGAGGCCACCACTGCCTTGTCTATTGAGGAGAGATCACCTGAAACACTTGGATATTGTCAGAGCTTGTCTCAACTGAAAGTCACGGATCAACTTAGTGCCCCCAGTGTTGGTTTCCAAAAAGGAATTTTGAGAAGAAACCCTAGAGGATGCAGAGGGCTTTGCACATGTTTAAACTGTGTTTCTTTCCGCCTTCATGCAGAAAGAGCATTTGAATTTTCTAAAAATCAGATGCTAGATGCTGATGAGGTTGCCCAAGACCTCATGAAGGAACTATCCTATCTCAGAAACATTTTAGAAAGAAACAATGATGGTGTCAATGACACTCCAGTTTTTGATGGAAGCCAAGTGAGTGCCACATGATCTTTCATTTTCTGTTGGATGGAGTTGACATGACATTATTCATATTCTAATGTTTCTTCTCTGATTATTTTATCATTCATAACTATATCTGTACTGAGCTACACCTCTTTATATGCAAAATAGTGATAATGTAGCACAAAAATACTGTAAGAAGAAAACACTAATCAAATTAAGTTTTTTTATCTGTATATTTTCAGGTGAAAGAAGCCTGCAGGAAAGCATTTGAAACAGAACAACTTGCAAAGGAACGGCTTAGCCAGATGAATGATGATCTTAACATGCATTGCAGAACACCGGTATGTGCATAGTTATTCCCAAAGTCAGTTTATCCAAATAAACAATTAGTTTATTTAGCTTGTTTTGTGCAGAGTCTGCTGCCACCAAGTGTTAAATTTTCAGATCAAGTTGAAGAAAAAGTCATTCAACCAGACTCATAAAAATGGCCATTTGCATTCTACACTATCTATCACATGAACAGACATCTGTTTCTAGGAGTGGAGCAAGTTCAGCTTAATGTTGAGTAGTTGATATTTCTAGCAGTAGGGGGAAAAAGTGACAGGGAGAAGAGCCTAATAGAGATTTGTTTTAATTCCACTTTTTCTTGGGTGTGCTGTAGATACATTTTTACACAAGTTGATACTTTATTTTCTCTATTCAAAGAAAGTTGGACTTGTTTTTCTTATTATCAACGAACGCCGAAAAAGAAATTGGAGTGGGACCACTCATACAAGTATTCATTAATCTTTAAATTCTCCACTATATCACTGATAATCAAATGTAAACAAAGTAGCTTAGGGTCTTCCATTTGCATATTAGCATTTTATTGCATAGTTAAGCGATATGTTGAATGATTGTGTTTTTTAACATTTTGAGAATTGTATGCGAACTCAGTTTAATAATCTTCACGTAAGTTCAAGTTAAGCACGATTACATCAACTCTAAATTTGTTTGTATATGTTTATGCAAACTTAGCTCAGGTCATATATGTAGGGTCTGAATTCCTAGTTCTTGAGTATTTAATTTAAACATGTTCACATAAAATAAATTTAAGAATGTAAATTCAATTCACCCATCACATGCAATTTGCTCAAACTACATATTTAAGTATGTCACAAACTTAGTTCAAATGCGTATACAGTAGCAAAATATTGTGTGTTTGATGAGTGTAACACAAGAAAATAGGGGTTATGTTGCATATTATCATTTTTATTTTATTAGATATGCTCATTTTTATTATATATGTACTTACAAATTATACATGTATTATTGATTTGTATTTAATATATAAATTGCTTAATGTGATTATTAGATGCTCATTTCACAACGAATAGGTTATGTGTCTTGTCCTGTTTGGGTTTGATATAAATTCATTTAGTATGCTCGCTCAAATTAATATTGTTTTAAGTTCAAGAAACACATCACATCTGATCCATAATCTAGTTTGAAGGGTGTTTCTTATGTTTCTTTTGGAACAACAAATATCTTAAACCACATGCATAAGACATGCCTTAAATTAGGACAACAAAATATTAGCCCATGTTTTCTGATGCACAATGCCAATAACAACCGAAAGAGATCCTGACAAATTATAGAAAACTTTACAAGAATCATTTAATTACATCTCAAATTGAACCCAAAGACACGGTTAGAATACTAACACAAATATATATTAGAGTAGAGAAAAATCCATTAATTGTGTTTATAGAGTTTGATCAAATTATTTGTTGGGAGAGATTTTTTATAGAAAACATTGAACATTGTGAGACTTTTTATTTATTTAGAAGAACACCTATGTAAGAGACACTACATATTCATAAAAAATCTTAAGGTGATAAGTGAATGAATTCTCTCATTTGTAAATGCTCAAGTCTTCACATTTTCAACAAATGTGAGACTATTACTCACACTACTCACACTTGCTACATTCTCAACACCACCCTTAAGTGTGAGTTCACAATGCTCCCACTTAAGTAAAAACTCTTCTTCTACAAATTTTTGTACCGCACAGAACATTTCTAACTCATCCTCTTTGTGGCGCCGTTGACACTTTTCAACAGAACGTTTCTTACTCACCACCCTTGTGGCGTCGTTGACTTTCTATTCAATAAGTCGTCCCCTTTCTCGAACCAAAGACTCATGATACTATGTGTTGAGATTCTTTTTTACTAGGGAGCATTGAATATTGTTGGACTTCTTTCTTTGAGCAACACCTTTGTGAGAGACACACCAAATATACACCCAAAATTTTAAGATTATAGTTGGGTGAGTTCTCTCACTTATAAATGCTCAAGTCTCTATATTTTCAACCAATGCAGAACTATTACTCATATTACTCACTTGCTAAATTCTCAACATTACTCACATCTATGACTATAAAGTAGCTATAGTTCCTTTTGTTTATGTGTGATTTTTTTAGGTTACAATGCTACAACCCATATATATAATATCATGTTTTAGTTTATCTAAGGCTATAATCCCTAATTTCCCTTAACAAATAATCATCTCTAACATAATTATCTCAACAATATGAGTTATTCTCTCAACAATCTATTGTTATCTTAACAACCCATATTATCTCAACTACATGATTGATACTCTCAACAATCCACAGTTGTCTCAACAATCCATAATCATCTCAACAATATGAGTCATACTCAACAATTTCTACCTTGGAGAATATCAAACCCCTATGAAAATTTCATGCATAGTGACTCATCCTGAAAACTGTGGAGGTACACCTCCTATTTAACACTAAGAAGCAAATGTTTGAACTTGTCACTAGTGATTGACTTGGTCAACATATTAGCTGCATTCTCTAAAATGTGAACTTTCTGAAGTAATATATATTTGAACGCAAACAACTCCCTGATCTTGTGGAACCTCAAATTAATATTCTTGGTCCTAGCATGATACACTTGATTGTTGGCCAAATAGATGACACTCTGACTATCACAATGCATCTGAACTCCACCTTAATCAACATCCAACTCTTTCACTAATCCTGTAAACCACATGCTTCCTTAGCACTTTCAGCTACTGTCGTGTATTTTACCTCAGTTGTACACATAATTACTATAGATTGAACTAATGATTTAATGCATATAGGTCCCCTTGCAAGATTAAAGACATATCCTGTTGTAGACCTCCTATCATCTAGATCATCTGCATAGTCAGAATCTACATATCTCACAACTAATGGAACACCCTACTCCATGCCGAACATGATACCACGACTAATTTCTTGTGCCAAATTTGGTATAGTGCAAACCATAACATACATCAAACAACCAATTGCATTGGCATAAGGAATCTTAGGCATACCTTCAATATCTGAGTTTGTCTTCGGACATTGTTCTAAAGAGAGGTTAAAATGATTCTCCAATGGAGTTCTCACATGCTTTGCTTTACTCATGTCAAATCTGCTAAAAACACCATCAACATAGCTATTCTAAGACAACAATAATTTATTAGCTCCCCAGTCCCTGTGAATTTCCGTCCGAAGAATCTTCTTTGCAGCATTCAAATCCTTCATATCAAACTCCTTACCTAACTTGGTATTCAACTCATTTACATCATGCAAATGATTGACAATAGTTAACATATCATCAACATAAAGTAATAGGAAAATAAAAGAGCCATCATCAAGGCTACTCACATAAACATACCAATTATAATCATACATTCTAAAGCCAATCTATAACATCTATGAATCCCGACGTTTGTACCAATGCCTTGGAGACTGCTTCAAGCCATACAAAGATCTCTTCAATTTACAAACAAGTCTGTCATATCCAGTATCACTGAACCCCTCTGTCTGCTCCATGTAGATTTGCTCCTCTAGATTACCACAAAGGAAAGTTATTTTCACATCCATATACTCTAAATGCATATTCCTACTGACTACTATGGCCAATACTACTATGATAGAAGTGTTTTTAACCACCAGACTGAAAATTTTATCATAATCAACCCCCTTCTGATGTGAATACCCCTTTGCAACTAGGCGAGCCTTGAACTTCCCTTTTTTTTCTATTATTGCTGACTTTTTCTTGTACACCCACATGCAACCAATAACTCTTTTCCCCTATAGAAGTTGAATAAGATCCCATGTCTCATTATTTTTCAAGGACTCTATCTCCTCCACCAAATCACCCTTCCACTTATCTTTCTCATAGCTAGCCATAACTTCTCAAAAAGTAGAAAGGTCTCTTGAACTGGTAAGAAAAACATATAATGTCAAGTATTTAAATCCATATCTCATTGGAGGTGTAATATGACGTGTCTCTGTGTCCCACACAAGTGTATAATCTTGTACTCCATCTTAAGTTGCAATCCACCCGAATCTGAGCCTGGTTCATCTTGCTGTTGGGCTACAATCTGCCTCAGACTCACTGATATCTCCTTAATGTGCATCTGAATCTTGTCCTGACTAGAACTATCTACCTCAGTATCTGGCACAACTGTCACGTCTAACTGTTTCAACACCGGCTGCTCATAAAATACAACATATTTGCTGATAACCATCTTCCTCTTAACTGGATTCCACAACTTTTACCCCTTCACACCTTTATTGTAGCCAATAAAATGCACTGTTTTGACTTAGGGTTAACTTTATGTCGTTCCTCACTATAAATATGCAGATATGTTGGACACCCAAAAAACCTCAAATTACTCAGATCAATGGGGTTACCTGTCCACACCTCCTCTGCAACTTTGCCATCCAATGAAGCCCGTGGTGTTTTGTTGACTAGATAGCATGCCATATTAAGTGCGGCTGCACATAAATCTTTTGAAAGACCATTATTCAATAGAAGACACATTACCTTTTCTATCAAAGTTCTATTTATCCTCTATGCAACACCATTATGTTATGGTGTCTTCCTCACGAAAAATGCCTCTAGATTTCATCCTCCTCATACAAATGCAAGAACTTCTTATCAGTGTATTCAATTCAATTATCATACTGCAAATAATTTATTTTTCTCCCTGTCTGGTTCTCAACCTCTGCCTTCCATATTTTGAACTAGGCAAAGACCTTTAATTTATATTTCATAAAATAAACTCAGACCTTATAAGAAAAATCATTAATAAGTGTCACAAAGTACTTGGAACCTCCAACAGAGGGCTTTTTTTGTAGGCTCTCAGACATCAAAATGGACATAGTCTAAGATTCCCTTTGTCTCGTGTTATCCGATTTTGAAACGAACTCTACATTATTTCCCATGAATACAATACTTATACAATCCAATTGTGCAACTTCAAACACCCTTAAGTAGATTCCTATCATGTAGTTCCATCATTCCACGTTCATTGAGATGACCCAAACGCATGTGCCACAATTTAGTTGCAGCATTATCAGTTTCAACAGATGCTACATCACCCATAACGATGGCCCCCAACAACTTAGAAATGTCGCACACAATCCTCCTTGCCACCA